TACTCCCCCACTTTCCCCTTCACTCCCCCACTTTCCACCATACTCCCTCAAACAAAGCACCCACTGGTCTGAACGAGCACCCACTGGTCTGAACGAGCACCCACTGGTCTGAACGAGCACCCACTGGTCTGAACGAGCACCCACTGGTCTGAACGAGCACCCACTGGTCTGAACGAGCATCCACTGGTCCGAACGAGCACCCACTGGTCTGAACGAGCACCCACTGGTCTGAACGAGCACCCACTGGTCTGAACAAGCATCCACTGGTCTGAACGAGCACCCACTGGTCTGAACGAGCATCCACTGGTCCGAACGAGCACCCACTGGTCTGAACGAGCACCCACTGGTCTGAACGAGCACCCACTGGTCTGAACAAGCACCCACTGGTCCGAACTAGCACCCACTGGTCTGATCAAGCACCCACTGGTCTGAACAAGCACCCACTGGTCTGATCAAGCACCCACTGGTCTGATCAAGCTCCAACTGGACTGATCAAGCACCAACTGGTCTGATTAAGCACCCACTGGTCTGAACAAGCACCCACTGGTCTAAACAATCACCCACTGGTCTGAGCAAGCACCCACTGGTCTGAACAAGCACCCACTGGTCTGATCAAGCACCCACTGGTCTGATCAAGCACCAACTGGTCTGATCAAGCACCAACTGGTCTGATTAAGCACCCACTGGTCTGAACAAGCACCCACTGGTCTGATCAAGCACCCACTGGTCTGATCAAGCACCAACTGGTATGATCAAGCACCAACTGGTCTGATTAAGCACCCACTGGTCTGAACAAGCACCCACTGGTCTTAACAAGCACCCACTGGTCTGAACAATCACCCACTGGTCTGAACAAGCACCCACTGGTCTGAACAAGCACCCACTGGTCTGATCAAGCACCCACTGGTCTGATCAAGCACCAACTGGTATGATCAAGCACCAACTGGTCTGATTAAGCACCCACTGGTCTGAACAAGCACCCACTGGTCTGAACAATCACCCACTGGTCTGAACAAGCACCTATTGGTCTGAACAAGCACCCACTGGTGTGTGAACCGCCTCTCAACTGTCAATCAACTGGTGTACAGGTTCTTGAAACTTTTGGGTTCTATCAAATCTACATTTGAAACTGTGTGTGGAATCTGCCTCCACCCTCCATCACTGCCTAATGCATTCCATGTGTTAACTAACCTGATGTGTAGTTGATCATCAAGACACGCTTCCTCCATCTAACCCCAAGACTAACGTCTGCAGTATACTCTATTTTCTCAACAGTCAGAACATCACTCTGAAATGTAAATAAGGAGGCTTTCATACCACTGTTGAGAGCTTACTTCAGACTGGTCCTTACGTATGCCGCCCCATCGTGGAGCCCTGACCTCAAAAGACATACAAAGGGGGAAAAACACAGACTTTTACAACGAGGCTCATTCCAAAATTACGATGGAGGGAGTAGGAAAAAAAGACTGAATGAGCTGGGCCAAACGTAGCTAGAATAGAAGAGACATATTTGAGACATCAAATATGCTGACAGTAAGCACAATCAATTTCCACGATGGAAATCACAGTGGCGTGACATATCATTGAGAATCCTTTTGATATGTTGACCAGATCACCCACTAGAAGGTGAAGTGACGATGGCGTTTCGGTCCGTCCTGGATCATTCTCAAGTCGAATGTAACTTGACAATCGACTTGAGAATGGTCCAGGACGGACCGAAACGTCGTCGTCGTCCCTTCACCTTCTAGTGTGTGGTCTGGTCAACATACTTTAGCCACGTTATTGTGACTCATCGCCTGCATCCTTTTTTTTTTGAGATATATACAAGAGTTGTTACATTCTTGTACAGCCACTAGTACGCGTAGCGTTTCGGGCAGGTCCCTGGAACACGATCCCCACCGCGAAGAATCGTTTTTTCATCCAAGTACACATTTTACTGTCGAGTTAAACAGAGGCTACAGTTAAGGATTTGCGCCCAGTAAATCCTCCCCGGCCAGGATACGAACCCATGACAGCGCTCGCGGAACGCTAGGCGAGTGTCTTACCACTACACCACGGAGACTGTTTATTATTGATATAATGGAGTAACTTGAGCCCGTGTTCTGGTGATTCCCAGACGCCCCCAGACACTTTTGTACCATCATGGCCGAGCCGGTTTGACAAGTGTCTCTGAATTACCAGAATGCGGTTCACCATTGCCTCAAAATGATTTTCAAAGTGACAACGCTTCGGTCCGTCTCGGACTATTATTAAGGTGCAAAAAAGAAAGATTGGCAATGAGTATATATATACTTGAACTTGACTTAAACTTGATTATAAACTTGATTTTAGTTAAAAATTTATCCGGTCATTTTCTACAAGATCCTCTCTCCTCTTGCATAGTCTAGTCGCTTCGAGATTTGCTGTCGTTTTCCTGCGAAAATGACTGTATAGAATCTTCGTTTGTTTTGGATAAATGTCATTTTCGTGATATTTCTCTGGGGCTCTTTTCATGTTTAAGTATTCATTACTAGCTCTGTTGAATCTAGTCCGGTTTTCATCTGTCCTGCTTGATACCTGCTTGATGGGGTTCTGGGAGTTCTTCTATTCCCCAAGCCCGGCCCGAGGCCAGGCTTGACTTGTGAGAGTTTGGTCCACCAGGCTGTTGCTTGGCCTCTGCAATTTCAACACCTGCTGTTAATTTTAGCGTTTTACTATTGTTTATTGAACCATGGATTGTTATATTTACCTGAATTTTGCTACCTATATTGTTGGAATGTCTCTCTCCCTTAGTCTCTCTGCATCTCCTTTCGACTTCTTTATCATTTCCCGAACTGTCTTACTCCTGAGTTCTATCTTACGTTGTACATTTCCGAGGAATATCGTTACTCTTGTAATTTCCTTTTCAGTAGTTTACTCTCCTTTTCTTGTCCTTGTGACTGATGGTCAATGTTTTTAGTTGTGTCATATATCCAAGGACCAGGAGGCAATGGCCGCTGGCTGCTTCTTGGGTTTCGTGGTCCATATACACGAAATATTTCTAATTCTGATTGAAGATCAGGTCCAGTAATCTGAGAGTCTTCTCCTCTTTCTTTCTTGTGTCATATTTTATGTGTCATATTTTATGTGTCATGTATTTTATGTCATATTTTATGTGTTTCGTTAATAAGTTTCTTACCATATCTTCCAATACTTTTGTTCTCAAGTGCGTGAGGTGATGGGGTTGCGTTCGTGGTCAAAATTGAGTGTTTGAGTGCATGTGTACTGAACCACATGAGTGATTATGAGTTGATGTGGAGGTGAGGATGATGTCTTGGCAGTGGGATCGGAGGGCGGAGCGCTGCTGCAGGTGCTGAAGATGGCAGGGATGTGTGTGTGTGTGTGTGTGTGGCTGTGGGAGGGAGGCCACGGGCGTGATGGTGTGGGCGTGGGGGCCACTCCACAGTCGTGCCCAACACGATTGGAGTAACATTCACCTTTAACGCCCTAAACATCCCTAAGTCTCTCGAAACACCGCCAAAATCTGTCGATTCCTCCTCCTTCTTCTACTCCTACTACTACTCCTACTACTACTACTACTACTACTACTACTACTACTACTACTACTACTACTTCTACTATTCCACTTCTACTCCCATCCCTCGCATTGTTTCTTCTCTTCCCAACTCTTCTCCCGTCAGTGACTCTTTACTGCACCCTTACAATAATAGGAAACTAATAACTGTACATGTTATGATTTTGGCCGACCAAGCGAGGCCTCCCAGGTGCCTCGCTTAACCACTTGGGCTGAACGGTAGAGCGAACGGTCTCGTTTCATGCAGGTCGGCGTTCAATCCCCGACCGTCCAAGTGGTTGGGCGCCATTCCATATTGTTCCGGCCCATCCCAAATCCATATCCTGACCCCCTTCCAAGTGCTATATAGTCGTAATGGCTTGGTGTTTCCCTCTGATAATTCCTTTCCTCTCTCAGTGTAAATAAATATTATGAATCATTTTAAAGTTAAAATATTCTCCCTTCGCTCAGTAGTTCGTGGTTTTCAATTTGTTTTTGTAATTCTAATTTGCAGTTTATATATAGTTTGCAGTTTATAATTTAGTTTTCGGTAGTTTTTTAGTAGTTCGCCACCGACCTACATTGATCAATAGTGAAATAAACCTTATTTTTGTATGATCACGCAAAAGTTCCGTCAGTGTCAAGTCAAAACGATAACTATGTCTCAATATGTCTCAATATATTGCAGGGAAGCCGCCCTAATTGCATAATGGTAACTCGTCCGGTCTATGCTTCACGAGCAATTTGGTCTGGGTTCGAATCTTAGCCTGGGTGGATTGACTGGTTGTCATCCTTAATTATTCACCCTCTGTTCACCCAACAATAATTGGGCACTTGGCTGTTAACCGATTGGTGAATCGGGCGTCAAGGAAAACTAGAAGGGTATATAATATTAATAATAATAATAATAATTAATGGTAATGTCTTCTCACAGACATAATAACATTGGATAAGAAACCCCACTTGTGTATTTGTGTAAAGAATTTACACAATTTACAATTTACACAATTTACAAAAATTTATGTAAAGAATTTACACATTTCGTACTCCCCTGAGAGCTTTATAATTCCGTCAGTGTTCGTTGAGAGAGAACAGCGAACACAAACCAGCGCATATACGAACGGAATGGTTTGTATGTACAAACTTCTCAGTGAACGAAGTTGTTTCTAGCCCGGTATCCGAAATTGCAGTATACGACTTGACCAGTCCCCCCTCGATGGTTTCAAGCGCGGGTTGGACAAGTAATGAGTGGGATTGGGTGGTTATAGATAGGAGCTGCCTCGATCGTATGGGCCAGGAGGCCTTCTGCAGTAACCTTTGTTCTTATGTTCTTATGTATTAGCTCTATCTAGAAATCCAACATTCTGTTTGTAACTCATCTTGTATGTATGTACTTTTACCTGAATAAACATTTGTTATTATAATTACTACAGTATAATTTGCAATGACGTCATCTACTCTCAGTGCTCAGGAAACTGGGAAGATGATGACGTCGTCACCCGCTGGTGCGCAGGAAGTCTTGCCAACTCCGGGTTTGTAAACACGAACCACGAGGTCGCTCTCGAAGGCTCTAAATATCAACACGATTGTTAGTGTGGACCCCACAGGTAATAACCGATACTCTTGTGCTGACTGTAACACAGTCTTGGTATTAAATCTTGTGCGTAAGTTGGTATCGTGTTTGGAAAACGAAAGAAGTTTCCTCGGAACTAATAGTGGCGTTAGCCATCGCCATGGTGGTCGAATGTTTCATAGAGTAGTGGAATTAACATAAATACATATACCATGAAAACCAAACCACTCACCAGAAGATGAGGAGTCGACGACGTTTCGGTCCGTCCTGAACCATTGTCAAGTCGATATTTTTATTTTTTATTTATAAACCTGTATATATATATACACAAGAGTTCTTGCATTCTTTTACAGCCACTAGCACGCATAGCGCTTCGGGCAAATCCTTAATCCTAATTTTCACACACATCCTCAGGAAACAGCCCGTAGCAGCTGTCTTAACTCCCAGGTACCTATTTTTTATTTATTTATTTATTTATTTATTATGCATATACAAGAATGTACATAAGGAATGTGAGGATACAATTATGGTAATTACAGTCTTGTAAAGCCACTAGCACGCGCAGCGTTTCGGGCAGAGTCGACGACGTAATGTTAATGACGACGACGACAAATGTTTATTTACTACTAGGTGAACAGGAACATCAGGGTGAAGAAACTCTCCATTTGTTTCTCCTGCCGGGGATCGAACCCTTAGGACTACGCACTCTAAGCGCTGTCCACTCAGCCGTCAGGTCCCCCTTGATACTTTGTCCTCATCTTCTGGTGTACGTTTGGTCATCGTATCTTCAGCCACGTTATTGTGACTCATTGTCTGCATATACTGTACCATAACGATAGTGGGAGTAGATTTGCCAATCTGTGTAAGACTACTCCTGCTACTCTTGTGGTTAGGGGGGGCCTGACAGCTGAGTCGACAGTACTCAGGGTTCGTAGCCCTAAAGGTCCGGTTTCGATTCCCGGTGGAGGATTGTATATATATAAATTAAAATATGTAAATAAAGAATATATATAAATAACAAAAATACTGGACCACTAAACTAATGTGTCACTATCCTTAGAGTGACTTCAGGTCACCAAGGGGCTGACTTTACAAGCACAAAATGCATTAGGAAGTGATGGGGTGGAGGCAGACTTTATACACAGTTTCAAATGTAGATATGATAGAGCCTAATAGGTTCAGGAATCTGTACACCAGTTGATTGACAATTGAGAGGTGGGACCAAAGAGCCAAAGCTCAACCCCTGCATGCACCACTAGGTGAGTAAGGCAGACTTATAACACTCAAACTTTTTATTTTAGTTTGACCAAACCACACACTAGAAAATGAAGAAAACTCTTCATATTAGCTTCGGGGATTAATACAATCTTCTTGTAGAGATGTCTGGTTAGAATTAGTTAAGTTTAGTCAAACTAAATTCAATTAATGTGGCACAGATGGTTGAATCGCCAAGCTATTTTTCTCTCGATCGCAGAATACAATACAGTATTAGATTTTTCCCATTTCTAAATAACAGCAGTTAATAAAGTATTTATCTCTAGGACTTAATGTGTCTATGTACATATAATCAAGCCAATGCAATATAGACTATATTCAATGTTGAGAAACCGTAGCCTAACTTGGAACCTGTGGATGTGTTGGAGTTTGACGCAGGCTCAAACTCGTATATATTGTTATTGTACTGTTCAGTAATATGTAAGTGTTACTGTACCTCACATTTATCTGTGTAGTGCCCTGCTGCACTATTCGGTTAATGGTGAGGTACAGTAACATAATGTATTCAGCTAGAAAACCATGCAAACCATGCGTTGCCCGAAACGCATTGCGTAATAGTGGCTTTAGGCATTGTATGTACTAGCTCTATCTATATATCAATCCATTAATGTAACATCACTTGTATGTATATACCTTACCTGAATAAACATCTGAATCATCAAAATGCACATTTGTTAGCTGTGTATCTTCACTAATAATTATTGCATTTATTCTTATTAGGATGTTGATCATTTTCTGTGCCTAAAAGTTTACATATGAATTTTCAAACCTACAGTAGACTAGGCTAATGTAAATCATAATATTCATTAGGAATATGGGAAGCCATATTATCCAGTGGGTGTAGTCATTTTGTACTCCAGCATTTAACAGAGTTTCAGACTTATCTTAATTAACATGTCTAGAAAAATGTGTAATCTAACCTTAATTAATTGGTTTAAAGTGTTTTCATATAAAATTCATTTTCAGAAAGGTCTGAACAATGGGGGTTAAACAGAGAAAGAAAAACCGTACTGGGTTCCAGTATCGTGCAAATTCAAGGAGAAAGCAATTAAAAATGAAAAAGAAGATCAACCCACATATTGATTGGTGAGATATACTGTATATATTTTTATTTGTTGATACTTCAGCCGTTCCGATACAACTTTAATTATAATTTTTTTTTTTAGATTTTTTTGTTTGTAAAAAATATTGGATCCGTTCATTAATTTGTTCACATAAGATATGAATCATTTAATTAAAGAACATGAACAGTATATGTAATGTGCTACAAACTATATGTAATGTAGTTATGTATCCACTTACGAAAGCTGCACATCTTTCTTCGATCATGGCTACTTAGTCCATGTTTATTAAACAGTTTGAGCTTGAGATACTATGAGTTGTTCTCAACTCAACGTTATTAATGTTATGGACAACACGATAGTGCTTCAGAATTCATGCTGTTTAATAAATGCAAGTTAAACTGCCACAATTGAGGACAGATGATCAGGTCTCTTAAATTGAAACATAAATACTTAATAAATTCTGACTTTGACTGTAGTTTTATTATAGAAAGGATTATTGAGTAAAAGACTGTTGGCAAAAGAGGTTCATAAACCAAGTATACTGTGTATAGAGTGCAAACATAATTATTTAACTTCAGTGTTTTCTTTTGAACAGTCCTCATAGACCATTATGGAGTAAAACAAATCCAATAAAGAGTAGAGCTGCCATTAATACAGTTAGAGAAAATAACAGAACCTTCCAATTTTAATTTTTGCAGTTTAAAAGCTTATCGCTAAATTTAAACATTGTTGGGGTAATAGCCAAACATTTTAATCAGAAACTTCACGAAAGTTATTTGAACTCCTTTTTGATGTGCAATGCAATAATACAGTATATGAATAAAGGAAAAGAGGATTGGCTGTAATATCTTGAGGTTAATCTTGAGATGATTTCGGGGCTTTTTAGTATCCCTGCGGCCCGGTCCTCGACCAGGCCTCCACCCCCAGGAAGCAGCCTGTGACAGCTGACTAACACCAAGGTACCTATTTTACTGCTAGGTAACAGGGGCATAGGGTGAAAGAAACTCTGCCCATTGTTTCTCGCCGGCGCCTGGGATCGAACCCAGGACCACAAGTCCAGCGTGCTGTCCGCTCGGCCGACCGGCTCCCTAATATGTGCAGTATGCCTTACCATTGCATAGGCAAGTGTTTCCTAGTCTTGTAATGTTCAACCAGGTCCTCTGGCCTTGAAAGAAAGTTGCCTGGAACCAGTAAATGCTGCAAACTGTAAAACTTAACCCTATGTAGTAGCACTGAATTCTTAAATTGTCTTCAAAGCCTTCTTCTTTGCCTATTTGTGACTTTTTTTTTTTTTTTTAATGCTTGAAGCATCTTATGGTGCACATTGTAATGTACATATTGTGTACAAGAGATTTGTCAATGGTATTTATATATGTATATGTGTGTATATCACGAAAATAAACACGTGATTAAAAATGTGACAGTGTCAGACCACAGAGGAAAATTGAAACAGGAATTTCCTTAAGTACTTTCGTATATTAATCACTCCTTCTGAAGATGTATTAATATACGACAGTACTTAAGGAAATTCCTGTTTCAATTTTCCTCCGTGGTCTGACTGTCATATATGTATATATACAGTATACGCATCAAGTTTATGAGAACACAGGAATCGATTTCAGATTAAAAAACGGTTAGAATTAATTTATTTTAATGTTATTATCCTAAAGTGCCTGAAATTCCTTGGAAAGCATGCTTGCTTGCATGTTTCTGATATGCTGAGCATTTTTGCAAACCCTGTATGACTTTTTATTGAATTCAACCTTTTTTTAATATTATATAATCTCACTTTTTTAATTGAAATGGTAATGGAAGAAAATTGAAGTGGAAAACAAAAAGTCTAATTGAAATTTTTGTTTTCTCTAAGAAAATTGCTTGAATGGATTAATGGAATTAATATATACTATGGACAAAACATGTGCAGTTGTACTTGTTAAACATTGGTGCAATTTCAACATAATGTATGTGATGGTAATGCAAAACCTTCATTCCACTTTCATTCCTCTCTTCATTGCTAATGCACACAGCATTTTACTCATGATGAAAAAGCAGGTATGTGTTGATGCTGTCAAAACAAGAATAATATTTACAGCAGCAGGCACAATATTAAATCAGTAATATAAATGGTTTTTATTTTTTACGAATTGTATGTTAACACTGTATTTCTATAACACGGCATGTGATTTAGCAATGTTTTTGTTTGTCGGAATAAACTGCACTGGTAGTGATGCCACATTCTTGACCTTAATTTTTTTTGTATTTTTAATTTCTCGGTACTGTTCTCGTCTCGACAATTTTCTTTTCACTTGCCATTAGTAAAAGCCTTGATTAGCTCGATACAGTACTGTGTTTTAAGCTGACATAGTGGAAGGGTTTTATGTACTTCTCATGATAAATCCAGAATTATATAGGGGCCTAATACCTCGGAACTGCACCACATTTAAAAATTATACGGTTTATGTAACGTCTCTGGATGATCAGTTAAGGGGTGTTTAAGGGAAAGTTAGATAAATCTTTCTAGAAATCCTTGGGTAGGAATTTAAATAATTTTTCTAGTTATCTGGCAAACTAGAAGGTCTGGGGTTTGATATTTAGTCACTGCAAAAAAAAATTATTGAATCTAACCTAATAATTTATCGAAGAAACAAGGTATCGCAGATATTGAGAATTATTGGTTTGTTAGTGTGATAGGCTCCCATAGTAATAATTTTGAAGGCTACCCAGGTCTTGCCTTTATATAAATTGTAAGTTTATCCATTGATTTTCATTTATTGATTATACAGTATTGTCATAATTGTTTATGTATACATTTTGTTTGTTCTAGCTTTAAAGAAACATTTTTTTTTTTTTTTGCATTAGCCTTTCTTGTACAAGTCTTTATGATACAGTATTTTCATTCTCTATCCATTCTTGAATTATTTTGTTGAGAGGAATTGACTTTTCACAATAATATTCTGTATTTCAGTTTAGAAATTAGAAAAGCTTGGGACATAACCAAACCGGCTCCTACAAACCTGGCCAACATGGGACTTGCATATGATTTGGACAGGGCTATGCCACTAACAGATAAAGTGAGTTGCATTACCTTATGTTTGCCAGGCCCTGATTTAATATTATATATATAAGATTTTATTGTTAGGGGATTAGAATCTACAATGTCTAGACATGGGCTGGAGGCAATTATTCTAACATTAGTAAGCATCCATCAGTCTCGGGAGACTTATGGATTTGCACTCTGGTTATCAGTCTGGAGTGGCATCTCCAGAACGCAAAGCCAGGGTAGGTTGATATGGGGGAGAAGCCGTTACCCATGCATCAGATCCTCCCCTCTCCACAGTGCCAAAAGTCTCCAGTGGAAAGGCAAACGCCAATGCGATTAGTTCCAGCGCCGTTGCAGGAACTGTCAGAACGAGGTTGAAGGCAACAACAAACTACCCTAGGGTATTCTAACATTAATTCTAAATTAAAGGTTATCAGCAATTACCTGGCTGATTATGAAGCTTGCATACATGGCCAGTCAGATAGGACTAAAGAATAGACCAGTTCTTAATATTTCCTGTTGGTGAAAAGGTTTGACTTTTGTCCTATTAATATATAGTAATTTGTACACTATCTTAACCCCCTTGTACTGTTCTAAATATACTGGTACTGAATAATATGTATCCATTGTTTCATGTTTCAATTACTGCTGATGTATTTATTAATATAAAAATCTCCCCGTTTGTTGTACTCTTTTTGTCCTCTTATTCATTTCAGTCATGTCACTGCTCTTGTCCTTGTAAATAATGTAAAAGAAGCTTTCTTTCTATGGAAGGTTTCTAATTCCTGGGATTGACTACTACCTTTTCACCGAATGTGTTAAAGCTGTGCTGCAGATGCTCATTCTCCGATTTAACTCCTGCACTGTGCACATTTTAAAATTACATTCCCATAGTGTTCTGAATTTTTTTTCAAAAAACATTACTTTTGTCTCTTGATATTGTTAATTAACACCCAGGAAGCACCATAATCTAAGTAAAAAGTCTCTTATCTCTTGTAGTTTAACTGTAGTGGCCCTAGATAAGTTTTCCCCTATATTTTCCACTTACATTTATTAGTTATTATTTTCCCCATGCTTATTTAATATTTACAGTTTCTTTATTACCAATCTCCTTGCTGCACCTCCTCCTTTCTTGTCAAATTAACTTCCCATTTTTGTAAACTTGCTTAAATTTCATGGGGATGTAAACAGACTATATTAATAGCATTTGCCAAGAACAATCTGTATTGGGGTTTTGGGCTACTTAACACTTTCGCACTTTCCGCGAAGGTCACTCAGCCAACCGAATGTGCGCGCGGCGTTTTTATCGCTTAAGCGTAAAAACAAAAATGTGTATACTCTTTTTACTCTTCTGACCTTAGTTCTCATGCTACGTATTTCATTTTGGTACCAACGTGTTCGCAATAAAATTCTCTAGAAGAACATCAGTAAAAAAAGTCACGAAACGTATAGGGATACCAGCACCAAATAAATAACTACGAAGATGACTCGCCGTGAGCGCCCATCAGCAACAAAATGTTTTTACTCTTGGGATTGTAATCACCTCCACACTTATTCTACAGCGTTAATTTTGGTATCAATGGACTCGCAATGAAATTCCCAACACGGTGATATGAATATAAGCGTAGAATAATGATGCGGCCCGCCCGCAAGAGTGTGGGAAGTGGTGAAATTGTTACCCGGTATCGGTGACGGGACGACGCACGGCGCTTTGAAAGTTTATACTTATTTCACTCTCATGACATTAATTTTCTATGTACGTCATTCATTTTTGTGTCAATGTGTTCGCAATAGAATGTTCTATGTGCCCATAGGTAAAAAATATCAACAAAGCGTAAGTTAGAATAGCGCCAAATATAAAACAACGCTGGAACATATCAGTGAGCGTCAAACACACACGAAATGTTTTTACTTTTGTTATGTTTGTCAAGTTTATACTTGTTGCACACAGTTATTTTTGGTTGTATATTGATCGGAATAAAATTCCCTAAACAGACATATGCATATAATACATGATATGGGGGAAGCATTACCAGTATAAACGGCTAAAGTCACCCACCTGCAACCCGTTTGGGACAAAATACCATTTGATCGAAGTTATCCACACCTTTCATGAACTTATTGTACCATGCAGCCTAGTGGTGAGAAAGAGAGCCTCATAGCGCGCAGTTTGAAACAAACCCAAAGTAAATCGGATAAAAATTGAATTTTATACAAATATTTTAAAAGAGGACTCAACTTTATGTCCACTATGCGTTAGCGTTAGACGAAACGGGACGCGCCGGCGCGTCCAGATAGCGCGAAAGTGTTAAACTTCACATGTGCGTAGAGCAATTTCATTATTTTTTATTGATGGTGTGGTACACAATTCTTAGATTTTCTTTAATCTTCCAGAAGCAACAAGGAGAGAAAAGTGAAGTGCAAACAATAAAAAAAGGAAAGAAAGAGAAACCAACAGAAGTAGTAAGTTAATTTTTTTATTTTTATTTTGATCTCATCTCATTAGGATTTTATAAAATTTGCTGCCACTGCCACTGGTATTTCACCAATTGCCACTGCAGTTGGTGAAATATCTGAAATTATTTAAAATCTTAGATTGACTAAATGTTTTTAAGCCACTGTATTGAGTTCTGAATATCTAATTATAAAGAGTTGAATTCATTTATCATCCTTTGCCTGGGCATACAGATTCTCTTGTATAATATTTTGCAAATTGTCATTTTAAGAGATGCCATTACGATTTGGGTAATCCTTATTTTTGTTAGCGCTGTAACTCTAGAATGGCTTTTGCCCTGAATGTGGGTTAAGACTTTTCTCTAAACTGTTTTCCTTGACCCCTGAGACTGTGGGTTGCTTGTTCAGGTGGATTCTATAAAGGCTGCTTGAGCCTTATTTGATTTCATTGGTATTGGCAATCCATCCTAAAGGTTCATTTCCCTTTTGTTGGAGGTGTTGTACCCTCTGTGATGGTTTCAGTACATTGACTGCCTTGGGTTTCGTTTATAAAATACAGGCCATGATCCATTTCTTTGTAAGTTCTTGCAGTCTTGTCTTCTGCCTTGAGCCTTGACAAATTTTGCATTGTTCTTCGTGTGGAGTGGAGACGTGGAATCTAACCTGGATCCTGTCCTCTTGGAATTAGAGCCCTCTGCCATTGCCTAGGTGTGGTCTCCAGCCCTTGAGTGGAAGGTTTTCTGTGGTTTTGTTGTCCCAGTGATATCCATTGACTTTCTCAATGGAACAGTTCGTGCTTCTATTTTGTCCAGTGAGGTCAGGGTGTTGCAGCTATAGGATCGAGCAACTTTTTTTTTTTATCCATGCTTTGGTCATGGTCGAGGTACAACTAGGTTGTCTCAATTGACTGTTTTGAGAGCTTCAGAGGCTTTATTTTAATTATTTGCACATGTTGTTTGTAATGCGGTGTCAGATTTTTTCATGGCCTGCTTCGTCTACAAGTGTGCTATGTTGTAGTTATTCTCAGAGTTCAATTGAACTCATTTTTTGTTGACGTCCTTCCCATTTTCTGTTAAATGTCAGTGAGTTTGACTTGCCAGTAGCTAGTCAGTTATTCCAGCCACTTTTGCAAGTGTCTTTGCTGAAATATTTCCTAGTTACCTTCAGTGGAAAATGTTGTTGGACCTTGGTTTCTCAATTTCCTGATAGGAATATTGGTAATGGTGCACCAGTTTTCAGCAAGCATTCAGCTCCGTGCCTGTGCCAAACGGGGGATCCACAAAAGGGAGCCGTATGCTTTTGGTATGCATACAGCTCCCTTTTGTGATAGACCCCCCTTTTCTCACCCAATTGAAATCATAATGTGTAGCATCTGTACTTCTTTCAGAGAGCTTGGACTTGAGGATACTATCAATGGTCTTCAAGGGTCTTTCTTAGAATGGGTTCTCCAGTCCTTAAGTGTTTTTGTGTCATGGTCAGCCACTTTACAACTCTGATCTAACTTTCGAGAAATAAAGGACAAGAGTGATATCTGTGAATGTGGATTGCTTTACATATTTTTTGGTGGCGAACACACTATGCTTGCACTCCGAATTCATTCTTGATGACCACAATGCCTGTGGTTCACCAGGTGGTGTAGAGCTAATCTTTGCTTGTTTCCCTATACATTCCAAGATGCCTGTTGAAATGGATAGATTGGGATTGTGGTCCTTGCACACCTAGATCATTTGAGCTATTCCCCTTTGGGATCAATCTTACCCCATAATGACTACTCTTATTAGACTGACTTGCTAGCATCCAAATTCTGGCCTACCTTGAACAGTCCCTTTAGACTTCAAGTCATTAACTTTATATTGTATTGTATTTATATTTTATTTATGTTGCATCACTGTTACTCAGTGATACAATGTTGAAGGTTTTGATCCTTTTGGGTGCATATTCAACCTCTAAGAATCTCGCCAAAAAATCCTGGAATAAACTAACAAGCCAAATTTCTTTAAATGATTAGTCTCAAAATGTTTTGAGATTAAAAATCACATCCTGGCATAAAATACATATGCCTATTATTTCTTGACTGTGGTTATTGTAAGTAAATCTAGGTTCAAATAAATTAATACTTAATGTAATTTAAACCATTAATTTTAGTACTCTACAGTATTTTTTTCTGATAAAGGTAAATGCAGCAAAATGGTTCTTGCCTGCTAGGCCTAGTTGTGTATTTCTGGTTATTAGGTGTTTCAGTCAGATGCACACACACCTGCAGGCATACACCTAGGCACACATGCATGTTAACACATACACCATGAGCATAGCTCTCGTCCTGAAACACTTGATTAATTACTCGCTTCCACATGCACTCGTGTATATATACATTTACAGAATACAATAAAATGTAATATTCAATTATATCCCTTACTTAGGTACAGCAACTAGAGAAAGCCAGCAGTCAAGAGAGCCAGAAAGAGCGTCCTGGTGTTCGTTTAACAAATGCTCAGGTGGATTATGCCACTGCTATGCTTGATAAGTATGGTGATGATTACAAGGTAAATACTGTTTGTGTATTTTGCTGGCCTTAGTTTGCTTGCTGACAGACTGTAGGCTAAATGCTTTAAGAACAGTGTGTTTGGCCACCCTTCAATAATTTGTACGGGACATGATGCCAGGAAATTATTTAGACGTTAATGAATTGAGTTTAATGATGAGATTCCAGGATGTAATTCTGATTTAGGAAAATTATAATTACCAGGAAGGATTGCAGAAAGGAAGCGACAAATTTGTTTCAAGTCCAACAAGGAAATGATTGAGGACATTGACTTTGGTGTGCTGATATTGTACTGTATTGATATATGTACAAGTATCTCATTTATAATACATTATTTTTTATAAGTACAAGATTGAAATAAGTAACTATTTAAAATAATGCTGCGCATGGTTAGAAAGTGTTTGGTACATTTTCATGTATTATTTCATGTTATTATGTGATGCATAAACTATAATTTTTGCATTGAAATTATGTGATGCATAAACTATAATTTTTGCATTGAAGTTGGTTTAGCAGTTCTAATGCATAATAAAACTAGTTTAATTATACCTAAACTGCCGAGAGATGATGTATTAACTGTAGTTATCAGAACCGTAATAATTACCTTGTATTGCTAGTTGTAATGGCTAGTAATGGAGCGAACCTTGTTGCAGAGTATAAATGTGATACTGTAAATGTTTCAACGTGAGTATTGGATAATTGAAATAAATGTATTGGAGAATAATGAGGGGTCAGCATTGGGACTTAAATATATAAAAGATGGTGGAATTTAATTGAAGAAAGGAAAAGGAGGGTTTTAGAATAGCAATGGTAACCTACCTGGAATGCAGTAATAATAAAATAGGAATTCGTATAATTGAAGTACAGAGTTGGACGAGTGGGAAGGAAAGTGGCTGGTGCAATGGAAGCACTGGTTGAAAAAAAAAAGGGGGTATTGCTACAGCTATAGGGCTACGCCAAGGAGTGGAAGTACTGATTTATGTACAATTCTGATGCATAGATGTGGTATGAACATGAGAAATAAATCATTTTATCAATATAAAAGGACAATTTGAGATACATATGTGTGGTGTTAGGAGTAAAAAGTAAGGAATTATAATATCGAGAAATATGGAATACAATAATCTATAAATGACTGCATTGAGATGAAAGAACTAAGATGACTTTGCCAAGGTTGAATGAATTGATAATGGTAGATCGTTGAAGATAACGTAATCCAGTGAATTTCAGGGCAAGTGTTGGGAAGATTGAAAACTGACGTAGTGTATGTGAGGGGCAGCGGGGTTTGAGCATTAACCCTTAAGCTGCTAAGGGGTCCTGAGGAGATTTACACCCCTGTGTGCAAGAAAAAAAATTCTAAAAATGTTAATTTGTGTTCCCTAAGCACAGGAAAAATATAAAAAATCGCAGGTGACACATTTTGGCCACAATAGGCCGAGAAAGTCTGGCAAAATGAGGGTATTGACAGAGCAGTCGTCAGAGGCAGTCAGCTTCACCTGAGCTGTCAGGTGGGAGTTGCCACAAAGATATTATTACCTAATTATTTCAATGTCTGACTTTTTCTTAGTTTTTTTGCAGTAATATCATTCAATAGTGTGTAGCGTGATAGATTTATATAATAAAAGGGGTGAATCATCGTTATACTCAAAAGTATGGTGTGCATATTACTGATTCAGTTATGTTCATAAAACAATAAACAAATAGTTTTGCTGTTAGTACTTTATATACAGATGTTACATATAAGTATCTACATGTTTTGTTCACCACAACTGTACAACTTAGCTGATATAGTTAGTTCAGGCACTAAGAAACATAGCTGCACACACAGTAAGCTGGCGGCTGCCTCCCTCACTGATTCAAGGCCAGACGCACTAAAATTTCTTCCCCAACAATACTGTGGTGTTGTTATACTATATACACACATTATATATAAGTATCTACATGTTGTATTCACCATAACTACACCTAAGCTTGTAGGGTTCCCGAAGAGCATAGTGGCCACAATCTACACAGCTAGACAAGTCATGCAGACAATGCCACCTCTGTCATCCAAATGGCTCCTCCCAACATAATCCTGTTGCTGTTATTACACTAATACACACATTATATATTAGTATCTAAATTTGTGTTCACTATAGAGAACCATTGAGCTGGCATGGTGAATGCAGACAATAACGGGTGGCCACACAGTCAGTGAACGACGCTATCTCCCTCCCTCCCTCAGCATTACTCCTCCCACACAGCGCTAATTATTACAACAATCCTGCTATTATCACAATGCTGGTCATTTTTATCACAGTCAGGGGTCTTCTATAATACTGTCATCGCTAAATAATAGCAGTTACATATTTATTTTGACATTTTTAGGCGATGCTGTGGTCACAAGCTGAACAGCAATGCTGTTAGCTTATGCTGTGTGTGCCAGCCTTGGTTGCCCACACAGTACTGTGGCTCTCACACCAGAGAATGTTGCCCACGATTTTTTTTAAACAAGGCATCTGTTTACAAGAGCCCTGAGGAAGCTGATGTGAACCTCGTGTAGCCCCAGGCCATTTGAATCGTGCCCGGCACCCTATGTCGTATATACAGTATACGCCATGCGCAGTTTAAGGGTTAAAATTGTACGATGTTTGGCATGGGATAAATGAGGGAGGGTGGAAGTTATTTATATTATACAGGACAATTCGTAAGGAACATTGTACACTTAGTCTTAAAAAAGCAGTAAGGTATTGCTGTGGAATATTACTAGTGTGTGTTGGTGCTTGTTTATCCTTGATGCTGTTATAGTGTGAATTTGTAAAGAATTTAATAGTGAGGTTTTGTTTAATATCTATAATTGTTTTTCACTATCTTACCTTGATCCTACCTTGTTTACTATATTGTTCCATTTTTCTTTTCATCTTCCAAAATGGGGCCACCTTGCCCTATGAAGTAAAAAAGGGGCATCATGATGTATGTACAGTATATACCTATTGAACAATAACTGCATTTATTTTGAAGTGATCTCCATTTGAGTGAAATTTTGTGTGTGTACTGTACTTGATATAGTGTTTACAAAAAAAGGTGGATAATTTTTTGTAAATGAAATGAGATTACTGTATTAATATGGACAAAATTGAAATAGGGGGTGGAAAAATTGTGAACATTTTTAAATCAATTAGGAAAATTTTTTTAAGACTATGGAAGGAAAAGCTTTAAGCATTTAGATACTGTATACAATCTTTGAGTTTCAGGATTACTGTGAGAATGGAGATTGAGGAATGGTTAACTCTTGGAAAAGGAAGCATATGACAGGAAATTTTTGCACGAGTAATACTGTACTGTGAGCCATCATGTAGGAGGAAAGTATTGAAAGGATGGGTATAAGTATAGTGATGAACTATGTAAATTTTGTAAAAGAATGACTAATTAAATGCACTTTCGAAATATTTGTGTATTTCACAATACACAAATACATACTCGCTAGACACATCGAGGCGTCCACAATTTATTATACGAATATTCATGCAAGATGCATTTCGGCGTCCACAATTAAAATATTTGCTAAAAAATCTGGTTTTCATCAGATTTTTTGGGACTTGTTTCAAAATTAGCGCCAATGTCTTCCCAATTTTCTGAGATGGGCCATGTGGCATTGACCCAGCACGACCCACGAGGTAGGCCCATTATTATCATCCCACGCTGCGGGTGGGCCAATGGGTCTTCGCTCACAGGTACTGCATGGGATGCATTCAACTTGACTGCAGGTGGGGCACGCCGTGGTTTGGGACATTATATGCATATACTCCTACAGGGAATTCTATTGTGAATACATTGATACCAAAATCAAACACCTAGGACGAGAATTGAGGTGACCACAGTGAAAAGAGTATACACATTTTATTGCTTTTGTGTGCTCACGGGTAATGCGTGGCATATTACTCGGTTTGTTGCGGGTGGTATGCCGTGCTTTTGGACTTTATATGTATATACTCCTGTAGGGAATTCTATTGCGAACACATTGATAACAAAACAAACACCTAGGACGAAAATTGAGGTGACCATAGTGAAAAAGAGTGTACACATTTTAGTATTACCAGGCACTTACGGGGAATGACGCTCGCTCGCTCGCCCAAAATGTGAAAGTATTAATTGCTGGATTGCCTAAAGAAATTTTTAAGAGTAAAAGAGAGATAATTAAGAGTGAAGTAAGTAATGGATAAAAAGACCTGAGATAAAAAGTGCAAACTAGATACAGAATTAAAAGGCAACATTAAATGTTTCTTTGTCTGAAAACTTGGAGATTTGGTATTTTAAATTGTTCTCAGCAAATGTCGGCATACTTTGTTTATTTTAAGGTAGCAATTGCATGATTAAAAGGGTTAGTTTGTTCTGGATTTTGAAGCAATGTTTGGACCACACAGCAGCAGACCTTATAGTTAATGGCTTTGGAATAAAACCCAAGCTGTTGTTTTGACTTGCTACTCAATATCTCGAGTTGAGTCCAAACCATTGTCATTGGGTCTCTTATTCAGCTTGTTTGTAGCTTGCTTTTTTTTTTCTTGCAGGCCATGGCCAGGGATCCCAAGAACTACTTTCAGGACACATGGAAACAGATCAGAACCAAGATAAAACTATTTACTAATAACCCAAGGTACTATGCCCCTTACCTGAAGCAGAGAGGGCTTCTCAAACCAGAGCTTTTGCAAACCCAGGATAAATAAAAAGTATGCTTCAGTATTTAGTGTTTCTGTATAACCTCTTTTGATCAATGCATATTTTGTAATATTAATTCTTCATTATAGTTTATTTCCAAAGTACAAGTGCAAGGAGGATAACTTTCAACGTGGAAAGCATGTAATAATAGTTAAATGGTAATTACACACACACACACGGACCTTGTGGCCGAGTTAGAGCACTCTTTGGGAGGAGGGGGGGTCGTAGTCCAAAGGGCCCGGGTTCAATTCCCGGCTGAGGCAGAATCAAATGTGCAGTTTCTTTCAGCTGATGCCCCTGTTCAACTAGCTAGGTAAATAGGTACATGGCAGTTAAGATAGCTGCTATGGGCTGCTTCCTGGAGATGTGTGTGTAGAGAGAAATACTGTATATGTAGTAAACATAATAGAGGAAAAACTAAATCGGTTAGAAAATGCCGATCTATTTGTGCCTGCAAAATTGAGCTAATAGCTCGATTCTGTAGGTGCAAGGAGTAAATACACACACATACTAGGTTACGTACAGAAATCACAATAGTGTGATGCATCAAATGAACAAATCCACGAGGGCCGTGACGAGGGTTCGAACCTACGTCTGAGAGAATCCCAGATGCTGCCTTAATTGACTGAGCTACGACATGGTTAAAAGAATTGCAACCGGGAAAAAGCCCAGATTTGCCAACGGATCCTGCAATCTTTCAGGTAGAGGTAGAACAGCCTATTAACATAGCTCGGGTGCATGGGGAAATTGCGTAAAACTCTAGTTTGTATCATGGAGAGACTGCAGGATCCGTTGGTAAATCAGGATGATTTCCTGGTTGTAATTCTTTTAACCATGTAGTAGCTCAGTCGATTAAGGCAGTTTCTGGGATCCTCTCGGACGTAGGTTCGAACCCTCGTCACGGCCCTCGTGGATTTGTTCACATACTAAATGTGTACCCGCTAGGTGAGTACATCAGTTATAATATAGAAAACCCCATGAAAATGCCTACCCGCCGAAGCAGTAAATGACAAAACATTGCAGCAATTTAAAATTGAGCTGGATAAAATCATCAGAACAAATGGAGGACCTTTGCCAAACCTCCGGCTTCCTGTCCTCATCGAAGCCATTAGAGAAAGAGTGGCCCTCGGATAAATTCTGATGAAACTAAATTACTGTACTAAACATGAGCAAGGAACTCGATATCATGTAAGTAATTGAATAACTTAAATTAATGCTTTAATTGCCCATGTTGGAATATGTGGGAATGGACGAGCAGATGTGCTGGCTGCTGAAGGCGCTGAAGGAGACCGTATTGAATACTTCATACCCAAGACTCTTCTACAAATTAGAGGTACTGTATTGTTGGGCAACATCACCGTGACAAGGTAACTGAGGAAAGGAGGATAGAAGCACAAACCAGTGAATCTGTACGATGGTACAACATGGTTGCAGCTGGCAATCCCAATCATTATGGACGAAGAGGAGGACGGGGGAGAGAATCAGTAAATCAGTAAAGAGAATCCGTCTTGGATACAAATATCCATGGAGATTCGGAATGGAAACAACAGTTGATCAGCGAATTTGCAGAATCTGTAATGAGAGTGACGGACACCGTCTTACCACTATCTACGTGAATGTGAACACCTGAGAGACATTAGAAATATGTGTAGAATAATAAACCCCACATTGTTTGAGTTAAGGAAACACTATTTGTCAAATATTGATACTGTTCTTAAAAGATTCCCCATTTTGCACCCGCAAGATAACATAAGCTTTTAAGGGTTGACAGATGTTAATCTTCTTGTTTGAGGAGCTGTTCACTTGAGACAGTTAAACAAGTCCCAGCTGTGTCTGGGTACAAGTAACAGGATGAACAACCCAGCGGGGTTTCTTCCTATTGGCGAGTGTTGTACATGCTGCTATGGCAGCATGTACAAAGGATACCTGATCAACCAGGCTGTGATTCATACGTCAGGCTGCGAGCAGCCGCGTCCAACAGCCTGGTTGATCAGTCCGGCAACCAGGAGGCCTGGTCGACGACCGGGCCGCGGGGACGCTAAGCCCCGGAAGCACCTCAAGGTAACCTTATGGCGGTGTGTCCACTCACAGGATGAGTGGCGCTGCCTAATAAACTCGCCCCTCGGGGCAAAATTTAAAATTTAAATTGGTATTAAGACGCTTAGGTTAACTCTTCCACAATCCCTGCACCAACAAACTCCAAGTTGCCTTTATCGGAAGTCCAGGAATGAACCAGTCCGTCCTCCTAAGGTTTCCGAACGTCAATCGAAAACGGTAAATTTAAAGTGTCCTTTCCTAACCTAAGGACCTAAAATAGAAAACGGGACAGTACGTTACTTTCGCGAGCCGCTTCCATTTTCTATTACGAAAATTTTTGGCCTTGTGAAACGCATACCAATGATAGACAGAATACTTAGGAGCTACAAGAATTTTGCCTCAAGAGTGTAACACTATGCTATGCTTACTATATTAACGTGCAATGTTAAATAGGATTCTTGTATTGTGATTTGTGGATTTATATTCACTGAATTTGTGCACCCATGGAGGGACTTGAAGTAGAGGAGGGTAGAAATAATCTAAGCTACTCTATCCCTTAGAGATGTATTTTTTTTCTTGTCTCAATAAACACACTTGAACTTGAACGCATACCAGCCAAATGCTCTGTTCTTTGAAGGAGGACAGGTTTCAGTAGTCAGCATCCCTTAAAATGGATTACAAAAACTGCAGCTGAACTCGGAATATATCAACATCATGATCTTTTCCACGATAGACAATAACGGTACTTTCCTGCACCATGGAAGATCACCCCATTCCCAAATTACTATCCCCCTTCCCACATAAAAGGAGGATTAAAGAACTTGCTTCAACTTCGACTTCCACTTGAAGCAAAGTACGTTGCTGCATCCTCCCCCAAACTGTTTACAGTGAGGGTTCCCTACTCTACTGATGCCGCCGGAAGCGCAGTTGTTGTGACAATGAATGACGGGGAGCTATTCTGAGCGAGGAGCTCGTATAAATAACTGGGCCTCCATTCTTCAGACATGATTGCTTACCTTACTTCTCGTACTCAAGCGAGTATATGTATCCAGATTTGACACATTGTTAAGTGACACTCCGTCATCCTTAATTGCACTCAACTCCTCAAGACACAGCTGTAATTTGCAAGGCACAGATATAATAAAATATTCAAGGATGAAATCAGTCTGTCTTATGGATCCCATCAATTAGGCAATTGGCGAGTTTTTCAATTTATGTCACATTATTTATATGTTCCTTCAATCTGTATCTCTCGTATGTAACATTTCCTTTATTCGTCATATTAATCTGCCAAATTATGAATCTCCCAACTTATGTTAACTCAATTTAATTGTTACCTCTATTTAAATGACTCGTGCAGTTTCTGTCCACTATTATTCCATCTCGTATTCCATTATTGTAACAAATTGGCAATTGACTTTTTGATTTTTATAATTATATCTCATTAAATATAAACTTTTAGTTGATAATAATAATAATAAATTATATGTTATTATTATTATTGTTTGTTATATATGCTATCTCTTTAAATAGTCCTAAATGATAATAAATTAACTTATTCCCATTGCGCCGTTTCTCTCGCACTGCTGAAATATGTCATTAGAAATATTCTAATTGGCTATAGTCAACTGGGCCACCTCCACCTCTCTCACTTGCACCTGAGCACTGGTGCGAGGCGGCCGCTTCAACACCGTCTAACCCCCCTCCACTCTCTCTAACACGACGTCCCTTACCACTTCGAGTCAGCTCCTTCCACGGCATCTACCGGCTATAGATGACTTGGAAGTACAAAAATGGAAGTTCATAAATGCAAATAATTCGTGTAGTGTGGATGGTGTATATGTCCCTATAACAACAAGAGCTGCCCTCGATGGTGGGCCGTCGTCTCCCTGTGTGGTATTGATCGGGGGCGAACAAACTGTTGTGGTAACCAGCCATGGACAAGGTAAGGTGCATTCTTCAGCACGTGTGGTTTATGTCTGGGTAAATGGGGCATTATGGAAGCATAATAAACATGTCCTTGAATGAGGCATTAACTTGTACAACTTTTGACTTTGACTTTAAATATATATATATATATATATATATATATATATATATATATATATATATATATATATATATATATATATATATATATATATATATATATATATATATATATATATATATATATATATATATTATATATATATTATATATATATGTCGTACCTAGTAGCCAGAACGCACTTCTCAGCCTACTATGCAAGGCCCGATTTGCCTAATAAGCCAAGTTTCCATGAATTAATTGTTTTTCGACTACCTAACCTAACTTTTTCGGCTACCTAACCTAACCTAACCTATAAAGATAGGTTAGGTTAGGTTAGGTTAGGTAAGGTTGGTTAGGTTCGGTCATATATCTACGTTAATTTTAACTCCAATAGAAAAAAATTGACCTCATTTATAATGAAATGGGTAGCGTTATCATTTCATAAGAAAAAAAATAGAGAAAATATATTAATTCAGGAAAACTTGGCTTATTAGGCAAATCGGACCTTGCATAGTAGGCTGAGAAGTGCGTTCTGGCTACTAGGTACGACATATATATATATATATATATATATATATATATATATATATATATATATATATATATATATATATATATATATAATAACTAATAACAAAAACAGGAACCTCTTTAAGCACCAACGTATATACTAAGCCCACCAACATAGGATTATGCCTGAACGGTAGAAGTGAGTGCCCCCAAAGATACAAAGCCAGTGTTCTCAATGCTTATATTAGCCAAGCCCTTACCCACTGCTCCGAATAGAGCAATGTGAGTAGAGAGTTTGAAAGAATAACTCGGGTATTGGTGAACAATGGATATAGCAACACGGAAATAAACGCTGCTATAAGAAGACACTTGGACCCATGGTACAATCCTGAACCTAGAACAGAAACTACAACACCTCTCATAAAATTATATTACAAATCAACCAT